GACACAGCTGATCCTCACAGCCAGTTGGCCTGGAGGTCAATTCCTCCCAGTGATACCAACAACAATCAAGACTTAACTACAACAAGGCAATGCACACAGCCCACAAAGGGGTGCACCAAGAGTGTCCACCTCAGGGAGGCTGAGTCACTGGGCCCTATAAGACACCTAGCACACAAAGCCACTCTGTCAGCTCAGGGAAGCAACCAAAATGTGGAAACAAAGAAACAGGTCACAAATGAAAAAAATGGAGGAAAGTAAATGACTGGATATAGAGTTCAAAACCAAGGTTACAAGGTTTTTCAAGAATTTCCAAGAAAAGGTCAATAAATTTATCGAAACCCTCAAGGAAATGAAAAAGGACCATCTAGAAATTAAATATACACTGATTGAAATAAAAAATATTATAAAAATACTAATGACAGACTAGAGGACCACAAGAATCAAGTCAAAGATTTGAAATATAAAGAAGAAAGAAAAAAGAAAAAAAAAAAAAGAAAAGTAAAAAGAAAAAAGAATCCAAAATTTGAAGATAGTGTAAGGAGCCTCTAGGACAACCTCAAGTGTACATCTGAATTTTGGAGGTGCCAGAAGAAGAGAGAGAGTAAGATACTGAAAATCTATTTGAAGAAATAATGACTGAAAACTTCCCTCACATGGTGAAAAAAATAGATGTACAAGTCCAGGAAATGCACAGAACCCCAAACAAAAGGAATCCAAAGAGGACCACACCAAGACACATCATAATTAAAATGCCAAGAGCAAAAGACAAAAAGAATATTAAAAGCAGCAAGAGAAAAACAGTTAATTACCTACAAGGGAGCACCCATACAATTGTCAGCTAATTTCTAAACAGAAACTATGCAGGCCAGTTGGGAGTGGCAAGAAATATTGAATAGCAAGAACCTAGAACCAAGATTACTCTGCCCAGCAAAGTTATCATTCAAAATTGAAGGTCAGATAAAGAGCTTCACAGATAAAAAAAAAAGCTAAAGTAGTTCATCACCAACAAACCAGGATTATAGGAAATGCTGAAAGGTATTTTTTGAAGAGGAAGAGGAAGAAGAGGAAGAAGAAGAAGAGCAAGAAGAAGAAGAAGAGCAAGAAGAAGAAGAAGAAGAAGAAGAAGAAGAAGAAGAAGAAGAAGAAGAAGAAGAAGAAGAAGGAGAAGAAGAAGGAGGAGGAGGAGGAGGAGGAGGAGGGGGAGGAGGAGGAGGAGGAGAAGATAAAAATTATGAACAACAAATACATGTCTATCAACAAGTGAATCTAAAAATAAAATGAATAAAAAATGTGATGAACAGAATAAACTGGTGAATATAATAGAATCAGGTGCATAGAAAGGTAGTGGACTGACAATTCTCAGGGAGGAAGGGGTGTGGTGGGTTTGGAAAGAGACAGTACAAAAATTGCACACTTATTTGGAGTGGGGGAGATAGGACAGAGGGTGGAGTGAGAACCAGGTGGAGGGGAACTATGTGGGGCGAGGGGGAGGGGGAGGAAGAACAATTGTAATAATCTGAACAATAAAGATTTATTTATTTAAAAAAAAGGAATGTCTAAAGGGTCAGGTAATAGCCTATCTCAACAAAGTAAGCTGAGTGTAAGAATAACAGGGTCCCAGAATGGAATCATGTATATATTTATGATAAATGTATATGCTATCCATATTCTATTTTATATTAAACTTTTTTAAATAACTAAAAAATCAAATATTTAATTATTACTATTTCCTTCATAATTCATTACTGCTTTTTTTGTGAAATAAAAAACCTTATATCTTTATTCTATACTACGATGTCAGTCAGGTCCTGTATATTTTCACTGTGATATATGTTTTACAGCCATAAATACTTATGATAAGGTTGGTAGGTAGCTTTATGCAGATTGATTTTTAAGATTCATATTTCTAAAACTAAGCTTTTCTCAACATGGATAGAATTATTGTAAATTGTTCTTATATGTCGAATAATCTCCCCCAAGATCTGTGTGTAATATTGCCATCGTTAGTCTGGCTATCAATGTTGTCATATTTAGTCTTCAATGCCATTTTGTACTACATTTTGAGAACTTCAAATCATAGCACTTCATTTGTGCTATCAAAAATTAAGAAGCAAAATAAGCCAGTTAGAGAAAGCCAAATATCACATGATCTCACTTATATGTGGAATCTAATTAACAAAATAAACTGCCAAACAAAATAGGCCCAAAAGTATGGATGCATGGAACAGATCTCAGAGTAGGAGTATAGTAAGAGATTGACCAAAGAACATATATAAATAAAGCATAACTCATGGACACAGACAATAGTGTGGGAAAGGCCTGGGGAGCTATGGGGTCTAGGTGGAGGGAGGCAAAAAGGGAAAAAATGGGAGATGTCTGTAATACTATAACAACAAAACATTTTTAATTAAGAAAGCTAAAGCAAATAATTCTGGTTTATTTTCATAAAGTTTGAAATCCAGTATTTAATGAATGCCCCAGTTTCAAAGAATAAATTTCAGGCTATCAATTTCATTTCTGCAATATAGGAAAGTGGGCTAAATTATTCTTTAACAACTGAAATTTCACAAAGACTCTATTTTGTCAGAACTGAGAGAAGCAAATGGGATATTTATGCAAATACTTGTAAATGCACCTATAGAAAAAATTCAAAAGGTGTAGATGAGTTGTAATGTCAGCAAGAAACTTGGAACTTCGAGACAGTCTTTGGAGATAGCACTGCTCCCTTTGATGATATGAATGGTTAAAAAAAAATTCTGTCATCTCAGTATAAGTAAACCAGCAGATTCATCAAGCAGACACTGGCCTGATTTTGCTCCAAGATGCAAAAGAATGGCCAATTCATGGCATCGATTATTGAATTCATGACCTCATTTTAGCTTTTCAGCCCAAAGCAAACTCCTGATGAATGAGAAAATTAACAGTTATGGACTTCAATATTTGGTGCCCCTACAAAATACTTCTGCCTGGGGATCTGGTGTTTGACAGGTTCAATGTTAGCCCCATCCTTTGTGAGAACTCTGTCTATAGTCAACACATAACTCAGAACAGAGCATCCTACGTCCACTGGTCTGAGATCTTTCTCATCACAAAGTAAACCACCCCCTGATGTTGTGCTTTTCAGAACTCTCTTTGCAGAATCTCTTTCCAAAATTCTCAAAATATCACAAATAACCATAGCTAATAGCATGTTATTATTTATATCTGTGTTCTCTTTTGTTGCAATAGGAAATGCCACCAGTAATTTAACTTATTCTGAAAGCTTTCTATCATATTTTTAACATACTGAGTACAATGATTCTGATTATACTAAAATTTGCAAATGCTGGTTTATTTTCTGGACACATGATTTCTGCTGCATTTAAAAGAGACTCTTTTATAACAGTACCAGTGGCCCAGTGCACAAAATTCATATGAGGGGGGAGGGTGTCCCTAAGACTGGCCTGACCCCTCTCCAATCTGGGATCACTAGGGGGATGTCCAACTGCCAGTTTAGGCTCGATCCCAGCAGTTGGACATCCTTCTCACAATCCAGAACCACTGGCTCCTAACCGCTCACCTGCCTACCTGCCTGATCACCCCTAACCACTCAGCATGCTGGCCTGCTTGCCCCCAACTGTCCCCCCTGCTGGCCTGATCACCCCCAACTACTCCCCCCACCTGCTCTGTGCCAACTGCCCTCCCCACTCCCCACTGGCCTGATCACCCTCAACTACCCTCCCCTGCCGTCCTGATTGCCCCTAACCACTTCTGCCTTGGCCTCACCACCATGGCTTTGTCCAGAAGGACATCCGAAAGGTCTCCCGGTCTAATTTGCATATTACCCTTTTATTAGTATAGATTGTCTGTAAAAAGGTTTTGATGTCATAGCTATTTTTTCACCTAAGAGAACTGCATTTCACAGTAATCACTTACTTTGCTTTCATTCAGAAATAAACACTGCCATTTTTCCAGTTCATAAGTTTCTCAACACCCATCTTTTTGGTATACCAGTGATGGCTGGTTTTATTATGGTGCCTTAAGTTATAATTTTTCTGTACAAACAATCTTTGATTTTGTTCTTCACATGCACCAAAAAAAAGTACACTCCTTTTTTTTTTTTCTTGAATCCTCCACTCTGTTTTTTAGGAGATGCACAAACTTATTTTTCTACTATTTAAAAAAGAGCAATAAACATGTGGTAGGAAATAACAACTGCATTTGACTTCAGTGTTGAAATGCAAAGGAAAGTATGTGGACTTTGACAGACTGTGGAGGGCATAGCCCTTCCACAGAGGACATTGCCCCACAATTTAGGAACGTCTGCCTTGTGGGGATACCCAGCCTTCTGTTTTTAAGAGAAACTGAAAATCAGACATTTTAAAGAAAAATCTCCTAATTATTTAAATGTTGGTACTTTATTCAACTTTCATTAAAATAACGAGCTGGTCAGCATTGTTTCAGCCAGGCAAAACAACTCAGCAAGTAAGTACAAGGTGGTACATGTCATCTCCTGGGGCTTAGAAGTGGGCACTGGAAAGGAGAGGCTTCCTTTTGAGAGGTAAGAAGGAATACAAAACAGAGTCAATTTTTTGAGACAATGAAGGAAAGAACCACAACCCAAGATCTTACTTCACTTTCAGCTAAGGGTGGCTCCTTAGCTAAGTGAGAGCAAGAATGAGTGTGTATCCAGAGCATCCATGGTAGTGTTGCCTTCTTGCACATTAGCATTCGTGGTCCTCTGTCAGAAGAGAAAGCATTGCGTAAGACTGGGTTGTCCCTAGCATATATGGTACCTATGAATGAAGAAAGGGCATTCTCTCCTCCAGGAGGATGCAGACTCCTGCTGGATGGTTTAGTGAGAGGAGGAGGATGGGCTGAACTTCAGCCCCCAGGTGTCCTTCATCCAGGTACCTTCATGAACAACCTGTTGTGAGGAAAAATTGTTTCCTCTTATTATACACAATATTAGAAAAATGACTATGTTGTAAAGTAATGTACAAATATTTGTTCTTTTCTAGGAACATGGGTGACATTTGGAGGTCAAATTTCAGATGAGGTAAGTTACTTAATGTCTTCCATTATGCTGATCAAAGAAAATGCAGAGAGAGCTATGTGGTGGGAGTATTCTGCCTGGGTTTCTGTCATTTTACAAGGATTGCTTTAGTCATGGGAAATGGCCAAGATTGACTCAAGTACTATTTTCAATTTTATCTTGCTTCTTGTATTTTTCACATTTAGACTATTAATCTTTGAGATTGTCAGTGTATTATATGTGCAGGCTTGGTAGGTAGGGAGAAGGAACCAGTTTTGAATAAATATTAGTCACTTTATAGAAAGATTGCATTGCTGTTGATTGTTTTAGCTCTCTCTAGGGTGACCAAACTGGTCCCAATTGGCTTGGGCTTTCACATTTTAGCAGGGGGTTTCTCAGACCAAGGCAAACCAGGACCATTGGTCATCCCAGCTTGGACAACTTAATCCAATTGTTCTGAGTCTCAGTTTCTCCTTTTATGTAAAAATGGGATAATAATGTGGTCCTTCAACATCTGTAGAAAGAATTAACCATGTTATGCATGTAAGACATTTGTATAGCCCTTTGACTAGTAGGTAGCAGACACTCAAGTGGCAGACACTCATTACATTCCTTTAAATTTTTGTTTACAATTCAAAGACAGGGCTTATCGTGGTTATATGCTTATCATTGTATTTAAGGAACACTTTCATATGAAGCCTTACCATTATAACAGCATGGGAGGACCTAAAGAAAAATATGATAACTCTAAGAAAGCTCATTACCATATAATTTCACTCATATGTGAAATCTAAAGAACAACAAGAAGAATAAGCATATTGAAACAGATTCATAGATACAGAGAACAGATTGATCGTTGCCAGAGGAGAGGGAGGGTGAAGAACTGGTAAAGGGATTAAGAATCTAGACTAGCCGAAGCCATTTTGGCTTAGTGGATGGAGCATTAGCCTGCGGACTGAGGAGTCCTGGTTTGATTCCGGTCAAGAGCATGTGCCTTGGTTGTGGGCGCGTCCTCTGTGGGGGTGTGCAGAGGGCAGCTGATCGATGTTTCTCTCTCACTGATGTTTCTGACTCTATCCCTCTCTCATATATATATATATATATATATATATATATATATATTTTTTTTTTTTTTTTAAATAATCTATACTAATAAAAGGCCTGTGGCCATCATGACCAAACAAGCAGCGGCTCTCATGGTGGGTGGAGTGCCAGTTTCTAGCAGTGATGGGGCAGCCTGCTGAGGCAAACGGAAGTGAGCTTTACTCATGCACAATTCGTGTACATTGAGCCTCTAGTTACTTATAATGTGCTGAGCCTGGTACCTGTCCCAGAACAAGTCATTTATAAAGGTAGTTCTTACTGTCATTCCTAAACAGAAGCTTGGGGGGCCTGGGGATCTTTACCCAGCTCCCAAGGTCACTATCATTTGTTTATAGATCCAGGGGAGGAATTATCCACATACTCTTATCTGTCTGAATGCCTGTTCCCAGTATTGGGCATAGGTCACCATAGAAAGCTTGTCACATAGGGGATTCCTTGAGAAGCAGACTCTGAGATGGATATTAGCATGCAGAACAGTCTTAGGAAGTGATCTCAGAATCAACACAAGGCAGAAAAGGAAGCAAAATTAGGTAGACAGTGAAACTGAGGCACAATGCCATCTCAACAATGACCTCAGTTTACCCCACTGGAAGTTCCAAAGCTGAGATTGCTATGTAGGATTGTCCCAAGTTGGTGGAAAATGACTGAGCATTTATATCTCTTGTGTGACCAACCATTGGCAAGTAGGTTTGATGTGGGGCTAGGCCAGTGGTCGGCAAACTGTAGCTCACAAGCTGCATGTAGCTCACAAGCCGCGGTTTGCCACTCTGTTGACTAATGAGTTTGCATAGACTCTCTATTCCAATAATTACAGGCTGTTATTGCTCCTTGTGATTAAGCCCCTATCCCAGTGGTCAGCAACTCATTAATCAACAGAGCTGCAGTTTGTTGACCACTGGACTAGGCGATTCTCTTTAGCTAAGTGCAATTTCCAGAGTGGTCTGATAACTTGAAGGCCAGGATTTTTATGGGAATAAGCCCTTCAATTCTGAAGGAAGATCTAGGCATCACAGGCCCTCTGACTGGTATCAGGTAGGATGTATGGAGGAGGCCCAGCTTGCCTAGGTAAGAGTGTGCATGGCTGGCCTCTGAAATGAATCATTTAAAAAGTATGATTCTAAAAACTGCACAATAAAGTTGTTATGAGTGGCGGGAGCCACTCTCATCTAGATGCGGATCAGACAATATCTACTCTCTTTCCAGAGAGAGCTGTGGCTTCCCCCCAGGTCCCTGCAGAGAGAATGCCAGCAAGGAGAAGGAAGGGAGACACAGATAGACCAGCACACCAGTGGCTGAATTGCTGGAGCTCAAATATCTCCTAATGGAAAAAATGTAAGCCAATAGGAATAAATTCACCTCCCGATTTTCTCACTTTCTCTCTGGCTTTGGATGAGCTCAGCACAAAGCCAATACAAACATGGGATCCTGGGATGACCACACCATATATGCTGGGTGACAAAATCATCAGTGTTGCCTCTAAAAGAGATGATGTCCCCATTACTAGGATAGTTCAACTATATATTAATATTAAATAGCCACTGGACAGGGATTGCATCAAAATTTTTCAAACATGAAACTAGATAACCCTGTGAGGTGCCTCCCAAAGATAATTTGGCTTCATTATAAAACCAAATTAGATGTTATTCATATGAATGGTATTTTTAAATAATGTTAAGAGTGTATTATCATCTTATAGCACTTAATTGTCAGAGTTTTACTTACATTTTCTCATCAGTAAAGAAGTTAGGGTTCTTTCAATTGCAGGTACTAATAAACTCAATTCAAATGGGCTTAACCAATAAAGGAAAAAATTATTTTGACTTTCACCCTGGAAGTGTATACCCAGAATAAGCTTCAGGGTTGACTCAATCAGTGGGCCCCACTCTATTTCCTAGGGATTCTCTTGGTCCTATATTCCTTGGGAGTAAGAGAGCTATAGGAATCCTAGGCCTCAATGAGGATAATACCTTCAGAGGAAGAAAATAGGAAGTGAGCCTCCTTGAGGCCTCTGTGCTCCATGGGCAACCTGAACAGAATCACCCTTGTTTTTCAGATGAAGGAACTGAAATGTCTTGGCCAAGTGTATTTATCCAGTACATGGTACACTCAGGACCAGAATTTGGTTTTCTGACTTAGTTCAGTGATTTCATTGCTTTGCATTAAGGTCTTCAAATGCTATGGTTGGGAAACATCTCAGCAATCATTTAATCCAACTCTCCATCTAGGAGTCTTCATCTTACCTTAAAATTTCTCTATATATAAGATTTTATTATGTACTAAAGGCCTGATGCATGAAAATTTATGCACTAGAAAAGGGTACCTCAGCCCAGCCTGCTCACTCTCACTGTCTGGTAGCCCTCAGGGGCAGGAGGTGACCTGGTGATCAGGGGAAGGCAACACCCCTATCACACCTCTGCTGCTGCTGCCACTACCAGCAGTGTAAGTCTTAGCCAGCCCTGGTTACCTGAGCCTCAGGTGGTCCTGGGTGGCTGGGCAGCTGCCATCCAAGGCTTGCCTATGCCTTGGGCTGGTCCTGGGCAGCTGGGGGATGAAGGGGACTGGGGCTGTGGGCGCTGCTATCTTTGAGAGTGGGGCAGTTAATTAGCATATTCCCTCCTTATTGGCTGAGGGTGCCACCATCTTTGAGGGTGGAGCAGTCAGTTAGCATATTCCCTCATTATTGGCTATGGATGCTACCATCTTTGAGGGCAGGGCAGTCAATTAGCATATTCCCATCTTTTTTCTTTTCTTTTGTTTTGCATATTTCCTCCTTATTGGCCGTAGATACCACCACCTTTGTGATAATGTGAGGGTCAATTAGCATATTCCCTCTTTATTAGATAGAATGTTTTCTAATAACAATCCATCAGCATGTCATGACATAGCACAAAGTTAATATTATAATAATACAAGCACAGAAACTTCTTAAACACAGAACAGTCATGATGGGAAAACTATGCTTATCTTAACTTTTACTCTCTACTTGGGGTACATTAAAAGTAGTAATAGTACTTTTGCTGCTTTCTTCCTAAAGGATTTACAGGAACTCCATTGTGCTAGCCTAATAATTTTCTTGGTTGGCCAATTTTAAAAACAGGAAAGTAGTTTATCTTGGAAATGCTGATGAAGCACTTTAGCCCACAATCAAAAGCATAAATGGAAAAAAATCAATTTTAATTATTTGTGAGGTGTGTAATTTCCCAATTGACTAATAAGTCTAAATGAAAAAATGTCCCCTCGCCACCTTTCTTTATCGCTATTCCTCAATGGCTGTCCTTCAAGCTGTCATTTATAGCTACCCCCCACTCTCTTGTCACATTTGCCACTTGCATCAGCAGCACAAAGGAGAGGACCAGAGCTGACAGTGAGGAGCTGGGTCCCCATGCCCCACTCCTTCCTCTGCTTGTCCTGTGGATTCGGCTGGCTGACCACTCTGATGGTGTCTGGGGTTTCGCTGAGTTAAAACAGTCACAGTTCCATCTAACCTTTCAATCATCAAAATAGTCTGCTAAGTTTTGAGGAAAAACAGGTTCAAACTTTTAACTCACAAGTCACCCAGCTGCCACAATCCATTGGCCTGGTGAAAGGAGAAGAAATGGAGTCAGCTGCAAAGCAAGTGACCCTCTGTGTCAGAGAAATTACAGTGCCAAAGAGAATGTCAAACCAGGCCTTCCTAGCAGAGTGAGCAACGATCTATCCACCTCACTGGGCCTCCTAGGGCTGCTGGATCCCAGCGCTGAGCGAAGTTCCTCAGTGCCCAGCTATGTCTCAGGGGAACATGTATCCAGCCTCAACAGGCTAACTGAAATTCTGATTTTCTTTTTACTACAACTGAGAAAAACAAGCTATGGTTAGGGAAATTTCATTGTTCTTAAAGATTCAGAATTGCTTCCCACGTTTGAAAAGCATTTGGTGCCGAAGCCAGTTTGGCTCAGTGGTAGAGCGTCGGTCTGCGGACTGAAAGGTCCCGGGTTCGATTCTGGTCAAGGGCATGTACCTTGGTTGCGGGCACATCCCCGGTAGGGGGTGTGCAAGAGGCAGCTGGTCGATGTTACTCTCTCATTGACGTTTCTAGCTCTCTATCTCTCTCCCTTCCTCTCTGTAAAAAATCAATAAAATACATATATATATAGAAAGAAAGAAAGAAAGAAAGAAAGAAAGAAAGAAAGAAAGAAAGAAAGAAAGAAAGAAAGAAAGAAAGAAAGAAAAGAAAAGAAAAGCATTTGACTTTTCTGACTGCATCCTCTTGCAGGTTGCCGAACGGCTGATGACGATCGCCTACGAAAGCGGAGTTAACCTCTTTGATACTGCCGAGGTCTACGCTGCTGGAAAGTAAGTTGGTACCTGTTTGTGTCCCTCAAGTGGCATTTCTAGAACCATGGGACTCTGCCCTAACCATTGTTGACATGCGGGTGAGAAGGATCTGTCCTTGCCACATGTGTTATGGCACCACTTTTCCCCCTCTCTCCACCACTGTCACCAGGGCATCTCTGGCCCCTTCTGCCCACCCAAACCTTCCCACCTCTGGCCCCTGTATGAAAAATGGGCTGGAAGCAATTGCTTTGGTCTACATGAAGGGCAGAGGAGTGGTGGCAGTGGAGATCAATAAATATTAGTTCAAAATATGAGTGAGCAAATAAAAGAGCAGATTCCAATGTAGTTATTACTTTGTAACCACATTTCATAATTCCTCGACCCTCGAGGAAAACTGGGCCATCTTCTTCGGCGGGAAGCAGGAACTGATTCTCCTGTTTGCAGGCTTGTTCCTCCACATAGCATTACAGATAGATCAGAGATTAAAGAAGGATCCTTAAAGATACCAAGAAATCTAATATCTATACATACAGAAGCCTAAGCGATTGTCAGGGCCAGTTGACTGGTCACTATGATGCACACTGACTACCAGGGGGCAGACACTCAATGTAGAAACTGCCCCCTGGTGGTCGTCAGTGCCCTCTCACAGCCAACCTCCCATGGCCCGGGCCGGCCAACCTCCTATGGTTCCTCCCCCAAGCCAGCCAATCTCCCGCAGTCCCTCCCACTGGGATCACCCCCAACAGGACTGGGCAAGATGGCCCCAATAGCCCTGATTGCTGGCCAGGTCCACGGACCCCATCCTGGGCCTCTATTCTCTTATAAGAAGATATTTCAAACTGACTCTGAGGACAGAGGGGGTTGCAAAGAGGTCTCACTTCTTTTGCTGGAGAAGTCCTATCTAGCTACAACCTTCCCCTGGACGCCAGAGAAGGCTTGGGCTCTAGGACAGGGCTCACTGCTATGTCAGAAGACCTGGGCAATGTGCCTTCATGTAGCCCCAAGGTCCATGTCCTTCAGGTTCCAGCACAACAAGCACATTTTAGAACAGAACGGAACACCTTGGCCTCCTACTGTGAACATGGACGCAGCTCCAAGAACTGAAAGGCACTAAGTAGCGGGCAGCTGCTTGAGCGGATCTGCAACTTTCTAACAGGATTGCGGTGCATGGTCACCTGCAGGCCTAATTCCCACCCCACGCTGGGTGAGAATGACAATCAAAATGCTAGACTTGCTGAATCAGGTTCATCGTTGCCTGGTCCAAGTGTATTTTCCTTGTGTGGGTTTCCTCCTTCTCAAGGGCAGGCGTAAATGTTTAAGAACCCTCTAGGACAGTGGTCGGCAAACTCATTAGTCAACAGAGCCAAATATCAACAGGACAACAATTGAAATTTCTTTTGAGAGCCACATTTTTTAAACTTAAACTTCTTCTAACGCCACTTCTTCAAAATAGACTGGCCCAGGCTGTGGTATTTTGTAGAAGAGTCACACTCAAGGGGCCAAAGAGCCGCATGTGGCTTGCGAGCCTCAGTTTGCCGACCACGGCTTTAGGAGGTTCAGAGCCCACATTCCTGATGTTTTCTGTTGAGTCCAAGAAGAGAAAGTGAAATTGATAAGTAAGGCCTTGCTCCTTTCAACATCATACCCTTTCTCCGTGTTTTCTTCTTTTGTTGAATCCTGCTCAATACCAAATGGGGCTAAGGTTGAAAAGAGGGAAGAGTGGTAAACAAGTGTATAAAGAGTTCTGTTTGTATTTCTACTGTGAAGAAGAAGCAATTCTGGTTAATTACTGCTTGATTTGTCAATGTATAACTGAGATCGGTTCCCACTGTGAAAAACAAGATTGCAAAAGGCAACCATTAGAGAGACAGAAGGGAAGGAGGGAAAGAACACTGTGCAACATTCAGCACATGTCTATTTGGGGTGCACTCCATAGCTAACTGCATCGTGGCCTATTGCCAGGCTCCCAAATACACTCCAACAGAGAGGGAACTTTCAGTCAAGATGCACAGTGATTAGTAATGACTCCCATCTATAGGACCCTTGTGGACAAAGTGCTCATTCCATTGATGTCCCCACTCACAAAGCCTCACAGAGCAGAATTGGCCTTACGGGGAGGGGCCTAGAAGATAGTTTTAGTCTCCTCAAGCATGGGTCTCAACTGGGCTAGGAATATGGGAATAGGACAGTGGGTATGTCCTCAATATACCTCTCCATGACCCAGCCTTAGGTGCAGGGAGAACACTTCTCTACACCTCCTTATGTCCTGCGTCTATAACAATGCTTGTCACTGGAACCCAGGACATTCTCTATGTGGGCCACTGCTTCTACAGCCATTACATTTGGGTCTTCTAGACCCACACACGGATACTTTTATCCTACAAGATCTCCTGGGAGTCAATATTGTCGGTCTAACCAGTGTGAGCTCTCGTTGTCCTCCCAGGTCATAATTGGAAGCCATAGCAAATAGAAGCAAAACCTTGACTCCCCTTTGGGACACAGCCAAACAGGACATTTAGAGATGAGATCAGTGGTTTAAAAACACCAAACTGCCAAATGACTGCACTGTTTCTTGGTGTCAGGACCACAGGTGGTCTCCTGCCAGTGTGAAAGGATTTGGCAGGTGCCTCTGCATTGCTTTGGAGCAGGATTCTGCAGGCACAAGCAGAAACAGTGGAAACTGCGCTGCCAGCGAGAGCAGCTTCTATTTTTAGGGTCTGAGAGTTCAGACAAGGAATGGCTCTGGTGTTTTGCGTTGACTCTTGCATTTCCAGGCCACTGTACCCTAAGACACTGTCTGTGTTCCCCTCCAGGGCTGAAGTGATTCTGGGGAGCATCATCAAGAAGAAAGGCTGGAGGTAATGCATTCACCACCATCATTTACTCGCCTTTAAAAAGACTGACATTATTTTATAACCAGAGAAGGGAAAACAAAATTGGATGGCAACTGACCAAAAGGTTGTCCAAAAAGAAGTCAACTCTTAGTTGATTTACAGAGTTTTGAAAATAGGTACCAGCAAGTTCATTACTTGTGCTTCAAAACTTATTGACTAGTCTTTAATCACAAAGAATTACCATGAGAATAAGCCAAGAAGGAGGGAATGTTTAGGAGGTATTTGTCAATAAAAGAAAGGGACATTTTCATGGCTTCTGGCTGCAATTTAGGGTAATTTGGTGAAGGAAGCCATATGACAGGAGGCTGATTATATATACACATGTATTTATGTTCATTGTTTATTTTATTACCAACTCTGAATTTAAAGAGATGATAAAATAAGAAGTCCTGGGGATAAATATCCTAAAACTTTCTTATCTGCCAGTGTCTCTTCTGTGTCTGGAGAGCCCTATTGTCTGGGGGATCACATTCCATTCCATCACCTTCTGTAGTCAAAGCCAGGGGATTGTTCCCCTGAACCCAGATGTTATGGTAACAACAGATGCCATAACATCTGGGGACAGGGGAACAATCCCCCTACCTTTCACTATGCATCTCTGCCCCAATATCCCCTTCTCCCCAGCATGAGTACAGAATCAGGCAAAGCCCAACAAAGACCATTGGACAAGTTTGGGTTTCTCTTCTGCTCTGGTATAATCTCTGCTGATGGCCAAATGCATAGCAATTCAATAGTATCAGTGAGATAATGCAAAGAACACTGCACCTGTGTATGTACACAGATTGCATAAAATTTAGGCTAGGAAAAAGGGACATTGTCACAGAGTATAGATCAAGACTGATTTCATTATGCCTTTTCACAAAGCATTTAAACTCCCTCTGGAGGGAAAGCTAGAAGGATGGAGGAGAGCTCCATGTATTCTTAGGGCTGCTTACTCCTCACTCTTAGAGAAATCTTTGGTAAGGATAGAGGGCCTTGTGAAATAGAAAACCAGAAATTTATGAAGTTGTCAATAAATAAAGTTTGGTGACCTATTTTCTCCCTCTTGCTTCTCTTCCCCCCAACTTCAGGGATTGTAAATCTATTAAGAAAGAACCATATTCAACCTTAAACATGGAAACATATTCATGTTTCCACCCAATCCTCCATCTTGCCTGAGTTACCTGCCCACTCAACATGCTGGTCAATCCACCACTATCCAAACAGGGACTGTACCCATTTTCTAGAGCTGCCGTAACAAGTGTCACAACCTGGTTGGCTTAAACCAGCAGAAATGTATTTTCTCACACTTCTGAAGGCCAGAAATCCAAACTCAAGGTTTCGGCAAAGTCACGTTCCTCTGAAGCTCTGGATAAAATCATTCCTTGCTTCTTCCCAGCTTCTGGTGTTCTTGATGGCAAATATTGGTGTCTCTTGGTGCACATACAGCTCTTCAACATCTGCTTCTATTACCACCTGGTATTCTCCCTTCATATGTGTCTGTGTGTCTTCTTCTGAGCACACTGTTCATACTGGATTCTCCAGTGTGACCTCAACTTAATTTAACCAACTACAAGTTTTCAAATCAGCTGACATTATGAGACACTGGGGGTTAGGACTTTAATAATATATATTTTTGCGGGACACAATTCAACCTATGACAGAGACCCTGGGGATGAGTCCACTAACATTCCAGTGAGATCTGCAGCGGGGGTAGGCTGACAGAGTCCACCTGAGGAAGGAGGGGAGGAGTCAGTGCCATGGCTCTTTCCCCCTAGACACCCAGAGGACATTTAGCCATCAAGCTCTATAGTTTGTGGAGCCTATTATATATCTCAAGAATGTAGATTAACATGCAACTTTCACACACTGCTTTTCAGTCTTGCAAATAAAAGCTTAAGCTATCACCAGGCCACAGAATATTGATATCCATTCACCACTAACCCCAGAAAACTGGTGAAAAGATAAACTGTATCATCAAAGCATACAAGCAATTTCAACTAGAGTATACTTGGCTTCTGCTCCCAGGGCCACCACTTGCTAACTGTGCTGTCCAGGACATGTTACTTCACTTCTTTGAGTCTCAATTTCTCCACCTCTAAAATGGATGTCATACCTGCCCTAAATGTCATGTTGATAAAGTGACATAAGGTGAACAAATGTCTTCTGAAACCTGTGCTTTAACAGAGTAAATATTCATGTTATCATTCTCCACCCACTCTAAATGCCTCCATGAAGCCAGTGAAAAATTGGCCAGGTTGCTGTCTGCTCATGTTGTTTGAACATTAACGTTAGTGTGTACACCCATGTAGGCCAAACATTTTACAGAAAGCCTAATTTTGAAAGAATAAATGAGTCTGTGGGGATACTATTTGAGTAGAATGTGCAGCTTCCACGGGTCCACATGCTTTGAATAATCAAGAGGGCTGCATTCATTTTTTTAATACTATTTCATCCAGCCTTTTGTTGAAGCTCTGACAATGTTTGCTAAAGCAGACCTGGATATCACTACAACACTAGGTATCATGCAGTTGATGGATCAACCAGGAAAGTGCATCAGCTCTTCTGGAGTGTGTGATCTTCAGATGCTTCTATCTGTAGACCTTCCATTGCAGTGATTCTCATTACTTTTCAGGGAATTAACTTCAGTGGGATACGGTTGCTGACATTCTCTACGAATTTTTCTTGTTGCAGCCAAGCAGTTAGACTTGTTACCACCGTCTCTCATTGGTTATCATTCATCAGGCTAGGCTTTTATACCTGAGGGTTCTGAGGTGTTGCCACTACAGCTGATGAAATTATAAATGCCTTGCTTCAACTATTCCCAAAGTTTGGTCTTGACCTTTGAATCACAAATTATTTTTTTTTCTAGACAAGTTCAATTGAATTACATACCTGGATAAATTAAATTACACTGAAATCTACCTCTGAATTTTAAATTACATGACTATAGTTCTCAAGACATATTTCCTTTTCCATGATCATAATGGCATTTCCTCCCTTTGAGTGTGATTTTGAAAAAATAATACATTTGCTAACAAGATTTCCACATTATATTCCCTTAAGAATAAGGTGCTAAAACTTTGAGTTAAGGATTTTTTAACTGTTTTCCTAAAATAATGGAAATTAAAATGACACCCATAGAAATTTCATTCCTACTTATTGACTATTGTAATTTAGTTCATTATTCATATTTCCATGTAGTCAAGTCCTGCCTGTGAATGTGATGATTAGAAAGTGTAGTAATTCAGAGCCATTAGGTCCAGGGCCCTTGGAGGATGGACTTACCCCAGGAAAGTTCACACTCAATCAAGGTTATCTTATATGCCAAGTAAGTGTTAGTGGGTGGCTGTTTGTTTGAGATCCTACAGCCATCCATCAGTTAGTCCTTTCACTTACCCTCCTCATTTACTATTTCTGACCCTCCATGCCACCCTTCCCTTTGCTTTGCCACTACCCACTCACCTATTTGCTGTCATAGCCCTCAGCTTCCTCCAACCCCTCCAGGTAAAGATCATTTCTATTCAACTTCTCTTCTTCTGAGATCTGACTTCAAGTCTTTGTTCTCACATTTTTTTGTGATGTGAATTAACAAATTTATCACTTTGCCAATTTTTTAAAAATGGGTGGTACAATAAATTATTTGGGTGTTATAATAATATGACAGTATGATTACAAATAATTTATTTAATATTTCTCTGTGTGTTTGTCTGTTTAACATACAGGAGGTCCAGCCTGGTCATAACAACTAAACTCTACTGGGGTGGAAAGTAAGTTAAATAACTTTTGTTTTTCCCTACTTGATAGGAAACAAATAGTAGTTTTATATTTTTAGGCCATCCTTTCACATCTAATATGCCAAAATCAATTGGTTTAGAGTGAAAGATGATTATTTCTCACATGAAGGAAATAGCAATTAGCCTAGGATTCAATTTGAACAAGATGCTTCCAAAGAAATTTAGTAGCATGAGGTCACTTGTTACTAAGTGATTCACAGAAAGTTTTCAAAAATCAACCTCATACTTAGAACCAAAATAGAGTCTAAATTTTGGGAAAAGGAAATGAGCACATAGCATCACCGAAGAAAAGCTATTCAACTCTGCCAACACTCAGCGACTTCTCCAGAATACGAATATAAAAATATCTTGTCTGGTCCCACTGTACTAGTAAGTCTCTGATCCTTTCCTCAGAGGGCTCTGAAAGTGCTGATCAAAGGGGTTATCTCCCTGGAGAATAACATAGAGCTTCCTGGGTTACTCGCTGCCAGGCCACATGAAAGAGAAGTCCTCTCTCTGGTGTGGGGTTCAGGATGAATGGCTTCTGGTGGGCCTTCTGGTGTTTGAACTGATACTTACATTATCCAGCAGGACTTAGAAGTTCTGGTCTTTAAGACAAACTTGCATGAATACAGCAAGCTATTCCATAAGCCTTTGCATGGAAATCTCAAAGATTTCTTAACAAAATGTAAATACAAACACACGTAACTTTATTTACCACCTTATAATTGATAGGAAATAATTAAAAACAAAATTGGAGGCAGAGACCAGATTTTTAGAAATCTTCTAACCAAAATGTATGTGTATCCCCCCCCCACACACACACACACACTCATATTTTATTGCTGTTTTCGAGCCTGCATGTGATGAATATGAAAACAAAAATGAAATTTAGATCTTTACTACCATTGTAGTCTATATAAAAATAAGGCAACACGGTGCCTATGAGAAACGCAAATTCACATTGTGTATGCTCTGATTTATGGTGCCATGGCTTGGTGCTTTTGCAATGGTACTCAAAACCTTGCGTATGGTTTGGAAATAATCAGGAAGTAAGACAATCTGCAAGAACCAGTGTGTATAGAGAATTACATATAATATTATCTAATATACTTATAAAAGGTACAAAATCGCCAAATGTGAAAGGTGAACTACTAAGGTTGACAAAGGTATTGATGTTGAAGAAACATTTCAGCAATGCTTTAAAAACCAAGCACCACATTCCTTTCCAATTGGCCAGAGTTTGAGAATGATCTGAAATGGCAAAAGTCCTGGTTGAATGTTGGTCTTCGTAAGATACTAATTTAAGGAAAAGTTGTTTGGTCACATTTTATAAAAATAATCGTTCATTTCTTTTGAAAGTCAAAAGGTACCTTCCAATTTGCTTCTTTTCTCGGAAAAGCTAATGCCATCAGCAGCCTGGCAAGCTTATAGTAAGCTCACACATTTCTATAGTAAGCTCAAGCCTTTTATTTCATTTGCTTGGGATTGCTAAGGACAAGGTGGGGAGATTGAGCCCTGTGTCAAGTTATATATGGACAGGGTGTGGGTGGCTGAGTTGTTATTATTGAGGGATGGTGACAGTCATGCTAATTTTACTTCCTGGGTTCTCTGAAGAAAAGGGGCTCAGTGTGCTGCCCAGCAGCTTCCTCCTCAGCCTGCAGTGGTGCAGAATTTGCCAAGAACAGGGTATAAAATTAGCAATTCCATCCAGAACAACCATTCTCCTGTGCTTTTGAAACAGCGGTGAAAGAAAGCACACCCCACTCAAAGTCCTTTGCTTCTTTTTCTTGTTAGAGCTGAAACGGAAAGAGGGTTGTCAAGAAAACATATAATCGAAGGTAGGTTCTGCTGCTTCATTTTACTTTTATCTGTGGGCTGCTGGTTCATGAACAGTATCAGCCAAATACATTCAAAACACATTGGGAGGAGAAAAAATAACCTCTACAAAAAGAATTACAATCAACCAAGTCTCTTCCTGGGGTTGTGTGTTGGGAATGTAATGATAGAGGGAAACTCAGCAAAAGGCCAAAATTTCTAGGACTGTTATCACGTACAGCTGTGCTCGCATTAATAAAACGCTTGCATAAGGCTTTTTAAAAGAGTTTTATTGAGCTATAATAGATATAACATAAAAATGTATCCATTTAAAGTATATAATTCATTGGTTTGGAGTATAATTAGAGTTGACCAGTCAACTCTAATTAATTTTATTTTAAAATGTTTTTATTTTCCCCTAAAAGAAAAACTTGTACCCACTTTCTGATTTAAAAAAAAAAAAAGAGAGAGATTCAGAAGGTGGTTCAAATGGGCAGTCAACAAAGACATATGATATTAAAGATAAAAGAACAACATGCCACTTTGGGCTTTTTAACCAAATCTCCATTGTTTTAATATTTACCTGTGACCGTTCATGATTTCAGGATTCTCTTTTTAAAAATCAGTTTTCTTCAGCTTAACATTCCATAGATGGGGGCAGTTTTATATCCTATATTACAAAGCATACTAAATGGCAATTTGGAGTCAGTCATGCATTTGCTATATCTTAGGCATCTTAAATTACCTCTATTCACATGTTTTTGATAGAATTGTTTCTTAAAAAAACAGAAAACCACCCCTTGATCTTGATTCTTCCTTACAGAATTTTGGGCATAGTTGATGTGGTAGTCATTTTCCTAGTAATTTTGTTAATTTGCTGTGAAAGATTGAAAATTTGATAATGTAGTATATATGATATTAAATTGTGAATTAGTGGGGCTTTGATGTAAGAGTGTATCAACATTTAAAGACATTGGTACTTGATACTCTACTAAGGAAAATTAGCCTCCAAATTTTAAGCTGTAAAGTCACAAATAACTGTTTCAAAAAAAATAGCTCAAATTGACTTCATAATTTTGGTACATATGTTAAGAATTGTGTACAAACTGAAATGTCTGTATACTGATCTTCAAAGCAAATAATAAAATCTCAATTATGAAAAAAAAGAAAAATCTAAAAATCTATTTTCTTGAAGCTTCATATAACCTAATAGAAATATCTTAAATTCTCCTTTTAAATAAGTCAGGAATTCTCTTAGGAACTAATCTCTCAGGATGCATAAACTAGTTCAGCTGAAATTCCAATCAACCCAGAATCAAACTTTAACACAAAATTTCAAACTTTTGAAATTGAAAAGAATTGGGATCTATTATTATATTGTTATTGTTGCTGTTATTTTACAGTTTATGGTTTCAGCCAAAGACAAAAAATAATCATAAGTGCAAAAGAGAGTCAGCAAAAAGGACTGAAATTGGGGAATTGAGTGGATTTTTCAGAAAAAAAGGAGGGATATGATATTTCTAGACCCAATGTAAAGTTTGAATGATTTATAAAATTTAGGTTTCATTGGTACTTGTTCTGTGGTAAAGGTGTCTTTATTCAACTATTCAACATTGGAAATTTATACACACATTTAAGTTGAGAATTGCTCTTAAAGAATAAGATAGAAGTCTGACTTATGTAGAGTTCAGGCCATTGTGTGCTGGGTAACTTTGGCCAACTGCGTTAGTTTATAAAATGTAAAATGAGCTTGAATAATGTAGTTTTGAAAAAAATTCATAGGAAAGACCTTTTCAATGAGTCCAAAGTCATTGCCTCAGATCCAGTTAGGAATAATATTCTCCTTAGAGTCACAAAGAAGGGGTAGAAATCTCATTAACACTTTATTATATCCATTTAGAATCCCAAAAGTCTGAAAGTCTATTTATTCATTTAGTCATTCCACAAACATTTATTAAGCTCAAGTATATGCCAGTGTTAAAATTCATCAGATCCAATTTCTTGGTAAGCAGGGTGAAGAATAGAGATGGTTTGGTAAGCCAAAGTATAAGAATAAGTAAATTGTTTGTGTGCTTTTATAGGCAAAACCTGTGTCTAAATCTATAGTTGCCTTTCAGACAAACAACAGTTTCCTGATGTGATTCAAAACACAAACCCACTGTCATAGTTTTAGGAACAGAAAAAGAAAATAGTCTGAGAAAGCTCTGCTTAAACATTATTAATGAATGGCAAGTGGTTACTCCTACTATCTAAACTTTTTTTTCTTATAAAAAGATAATTTATTGTTTTTTAATTTAAAAATAAATTTCATAGCAAATGGATTCACCCCAGGATTCCTTCTCAGTGTATCATGTTCACAGTAATAGAAATTATCCACCAGAATCACCAGGCTTCATAATGGGAGAGGCTGGCACATATATTATTCTAATACAGTGCAGTCTTTATTTAAACAAAAAAAGCAAGTGTGTCCCCTACATCATGATTAAGAGGTCTGCTGAGAAGAACCTGGAAAATTATATAGGGACACTGTGTATATTACTGATGGCAACTTTTTCTCAAGCTAGATAGGAAATCAAATGTGCGGTAGATATAGAGGGCATATATGATGACAGGGCATATATGAATAGAACCCTTGCAGAATCAACAAACTACATACTGATCTCTTTGTTTCTACACAGTTAGACCTGCAAGGTCTAAGCACCTGACCCATGTGCTTACCAACCTGCTTAATGTCTGGAATGAGCACCTGTCTTTAGGTCGATGCCTGTACAACAGGCTTAAATTGATTAAGGATCACCTTATAAACGATACAGTTCCTGTTCAACTTCAGAACCTAAAAGAAAAATGAACTTAGATTTCTCTTTCCTACAGTCACTTGAGAGCCTTTTTCTTTGTATAACATAATTTATCATCCTGTGGACTTTCGAGGAATTGCGTTAATTTCTAGACATTCCTCAAGGGCAGGGAGCATTCCCCCTGCTTCTCTTGTATTCACTCCAGCAGATAGACACTGCGTTGGTGTCCAAGGACAGGTTAAGGTCAAAGTGCCTTCAGCAAGTGCACTCACTGCCCTGGAGCACTTAGCTCCTTAGGTTGTGATTAGATGTCAGGATGCCCCTCCGGAGCTGAGGTTAATGCATTTTTGTATGTCTACTTAAACTTAAAACAATGCCTGGCTCCAAGCCAGTGCTCAACAAACATTTGCTAAGTGGACATGAGTCTTGACTATTTGTTTATTGAAAATAACCTACATGGTTTTTAAGGATACATTGGTGAACATGTCTTTATGTTGCTATGAGTTAGCTGTTTCTACAAGATTAAAGTATCCCAAGAAGGAAAAGGAAAGACTACCTGACTTGGTTTTCAATCACATGAAAGGTCAAAAAAGAAAGTTCATCTAGCTCTATGTTGTCTTTGACAGATGAAGAATGACCAAATACAATGACCTTTCTATCAAGTCCACGCCATTATTTTGGGGCATACATTATTGCCTTGAATAATGAGCGTATGCCAATAGGAACTCTCAACATGCACTGTTAGCTCCTTGGGGATGAATGCAGTGTCCATACATCTTTATACTCCAAGGGCCCAGCACAGTTTCAGAATCAAATTGGGATTCAGAAAATGCTTATAGCGTGGATAAGTGAATGACTTAAGTCGTGACTGATCATGTTGCAATCACAACAGGGCCAAGTCAGTCGTAGCTTCTTCTCCAGCTTATTCTCAGCCCACCCTGACTGCTGAGAAGAGACACAGGAGAAGAGGGCCATCATCAGGAAGGAAGACCTTGTTCCCAGGGCCAGGCATGGGACAAAATGTCACTAAATGCCTCCAAAACCAGGGGTCTAGTGAAAGTCTCTGGCAGTAGTTGTTGGGACCTCTCATTCTGACATGTGAATATCACCATTTTAATTGCCACATTACTAAACTATTGCATTTACAAAGTACTTACAATTGATTTTACTTGCTCTCTGGAGCAGCAATTCTGAAGGTAGCAAGGACCATTACCCCCACTGCAGATCGGAGAATTGAATCACACAAAAAAGGTGAAATAAGCCAAGTGAGATCACACAGCATGCTAGGGTAGATTTCCAATCTTTCAAACCTTATAACACCCTATTTATTTGTTTGCTTCGTTATCCGGTCCTCCCCTTGACTCCTTCATACAATTGCTTCCAAAAAGTGGCTCACATCATAAATCTTTTTAAGTTCAATTTAATTGCAAGCTGCCCCTTGCGATAGCTGGTAATGCCCTGAGCCTGAAAGTCACTGCAGTTTTTCAAGAGCAGGCATTGGACCCTGTAACACCTGTCTGCCCTAATCTGCTCATCAATGCTTCCTTTAACAAGCTGCCACCACAGACAATCCTTTCTTAATGAGTGAAAAATACTTCCGGAACTACATTCAAGCACTCCATTTTCTTGTCAGAAAGGTAATTGGGGCTGGCCGATAAACTAGTTTGAAAAATCAAATTTAAATGAGCCAAATTTAAATTTTTAAGAGCCTTATTTAACATGCAATTAATTTTACGCCTGTAATAAAAAGAGAAAACCCTCCGGTCTTCCTGAAGAATTAAATAAGCTGATAAGGAAATGCCATAAAATTTTATGTCATGGAAATAACTCTTGAACACTGTCCTTTCGGTTACATAATATTATGTACAGTACATTCTATTTCAGGGAAGCATTAATTTTACTGAGATTAAATATTTTTTTCTGAATAGTCATAGAAATGTGACAAAATGGTTAGGGTTGAAACAGACTATGGGTTCTAGATTTTATTGTAAGCTCTCACTCTGTCCTTTATATTACCACTTCAATCTTTATAGCTTCTAGTATTTTTGTTTTTCCTCAAAAGAATAGGGAGTAATAGAAATAATAGAGCTCAGCTATATATAGGATTCTTCGAACTTTGTTCCAATCAATGAGATGTTGAGTAACGCCCTCACTGACCAACACTTTTATTCCTATTATAACCCATTGTGGCATTGGTTGTCACTTATTTATGATATATACTATTTTTATGTTTTGCTATGCTATGCAATAACATACCTCCATTCTATTATAAGTCCATTAAGTAATTCAATACATGACATTAGTTGAATTTTTTAAGAAAAAATTCTTAGGATGCTTTTTATTCTAAACTTTGCTTCTGGACAGTGCCACACACAAGTCACTGCAAGATAAACATTAAGTCTGTATTTTCTAGTGTGGTGGGAATACTAATACCATAGAGAAAAGAATTTTCTTTTTTTAATATATTTTTATTGATTTCAGAGAGCAGGGGAGGGAGGAAGGGAAGGAGGGAGAGAGGGAGGAGAGAGGAAGGGAGGGAGGAAGAGAGGGAGGGGGGAGGGAGGAAGGGAGGGAGGGAGGGAGGAGAGAGAGAGAGAGAGAGAGAGAGAGAGAGAGAGAGAGAGAGAGAGAGAGACATGATGAGAGAGGATCACGGGTCGGCTGCCTCCTGCAGGTTCCCTGTTGGGGATCTAGCCTACATCCCAGGCATGTGCCCTGACCTGGAATTAAACTGTGACCTCCTTAGGTTTTCATAGGTCAAGGCTCAACTACTAAGCCACTGATGCCAGGCTAAGACTATTCTTTGTGGGGACAAAATCAGACTTTGACATAATTTTACAAGGATTTAGGGGTCAGTTAGCACATCATTGTATTTAGTGCTTCCCTGAAGCTAATCCAATGCTTTTTAATTTTAAAAAAGTAAATTCTTAAAGATAACCAAACTTCAACTCTTTCCAATAGTGCTCATTTTGGACTTTCTCTGTTTGCCCTGCTTCTGTTCCCAGGACTGAAGGGCTCCCTCCAGAGGCTGCAGCTGGAGTATGTGGATGTCGTCTTTGCAAATCGACCAGACAGTAATACCCCCATGGAAGGTGAGTAAAGAAATTTAATAAAAGACTCTGGAGTTACTGATTCTAGCTCGATGACTATTCCACTCATGGTAGAAAATGGAATACACTCAGACTGATTTGACTGAATATGAAAAATAACCACCTTTCCAGTAGATGTCTTTCAGCCTTAATATTTACCTTCAAAGCCAATGCTCAGCATCCTGCATCTTCATTCCTTTTTAAAGTAGTTGCAGGCATTGGAATTGTGGCTTCTGCCGGGTACAGTGCTCACTTACTTTTTCCAGGTTCTTTTCACTTCTGTGGTTCCATAAATGAAAACAATAAAATTAATTAGAAGGGGAATTTATAACCCAGCCATCTTATTTTACATCTTATTTTGAAGTAAGTCATCTGAGTGGCTTCCTATTTTTAGACTTGGAACTCTGATTAGTTCCAAGTCTGCAGAGCAACTATTTAAAATGAGCAGAAACCGGTTTGGCTCAGTGGATAGAGCGTTGGCCTGCGGCCTAAGGGTCCCAGGTTCGATTCCGGTCAAGGGCATGTAGGGGGTGTGCAAGAGGCAGCTGATCAATGATTCTCTCTCATTGATGTTTCTAGCTCTCTATCCCTCTCTCTTCCTCTCTGTAAAAAATCAATAAAGTATATATATATCGATATATATATATATTTTTTTTAAATGAGACCCTTCATTGCAATTTGGTTTTTGGTTCTCATTTTATTTCCCTTCTGTTACAACTGTTTGAAGACAATATTTTGACATCTCCTGTGAAAACTTTCAGGACATTCCTAAAAACAGATTGTTTTCAATCTACATTTATTTATGGAACCTACATAATATTATTGAGAAAGAAGATAGTTTGGGAGGGCAAATTAAAAAGAATGATCCAGTTAATTGAGGTTTATAACCATGAATTATCACCCAAGGTTAATGAGAATGAAAATATTTGGAAAAAAGGGGGGGGGGGAGAATGTTCTTGTTATTTGAGGCTTACAATATGACATAGATTTATAAATTTTCAAAGAATGAGAATAAAGTTATCAACATAAAATTATACTGAAGGTAATTTGTCCTTGATGATTCAATAGGTAGTTCATGATCTTATAATATCAACAGGTTCTATAAAGATTTATTCTTGCTATTGGGCTATAAAAGTTATAAATAATCAAAGTACATATGAGTTTTTTTGTGGGTTTTTCTGACAAATATAATGTTCTCCTAGAGTTTTTTGTTTCTTTGATTTTGAGTTAATTAGGAGTTTACTATAAAGCAATATTAATGTTGGAAATTCAGATAAAAAATTATCCATGGAAATGATATAAAAATGCATATTTTTATCAAATCAAAGAATACATGTTTGATAAGGCAAATTATAAATGTTTTTAGTCTAAGAAGAGTTTTTTACAGGGATAATATGATATCACTCTATTCTCAATAATGAAACATCAAAACAGAGCACTAAAGTGTTTGAGTGAAAGTGTGCAAGTGCTGTTTAGGCTGTGAAAGCCCAAATTGCTTCCCATTTAAGTCCAGTGACTATTTTATTTTGGAAAAGTATCCTTTGCAATTACACCATGTATAGAATAGAACAGCAATTTTCAACCAGTGTGCCACAAGAATTTTTAAAACGTACACTGACCTCTATTCCCATTAGATTGTCAAATTAAAAAAAAAAAATGACAACAATAGCCATCCATTTGAATGAATCAAAAATATACCTTTTTTTTGTCAAACCTGCAAAAAACATACATTGTGGTGTGCCACAGAATTTTAGTAATTTGTTTAGGTGTGCTGTATTTTGTACTTTTATAGAAAGTCAAGGATTCCAACCTCATTCCATAAAGTCCTGATCTGAAGGGAGGGGGAGGATCCTGGAGAAGAATATGTATATACTCTATGCTATTTAGCTACTTGCTCTATTCTCCCCACCACACACACACACACACACACACACACACACACACACACACACGGCTTTGTCCTTTCTTCACATCTTCAGTCAACAGTGAAGGCAGAAGCGATTCAACCCCTATCATTAATGCGACACAAAAGGAGGGAAAATATGGGCCACATGGCTGGGCCCTGTGGGTCCTCTTCACCACAAATCTGTGGCTCTCACCGAGTTCAGAAAGGGCATGTTTTCCCTCCTAAGTTACTGTTAGGCAGAGGGAGAACGAAGATGGCCCTGCTCACCCCAGCTGTCAGGTGGAAACAGAGTTCTTAGTATTTGGGGGGCTATGGCTTTGTGCCACACGTGAACATCCTTCTGTGAGAGTTGTCATCTCCCTGGAAGATCGCTGGAGTTGTGACAAGATTTACCTCCATATTTGGAGGAGATGTTGAATCGGTCTCAGGAGAATTCATTTTTATACTCATCTCTATAAGTTCCTCACTGGGCTGCAGCTGATCTGCAATGACATGGGTAGAACTCGAAGATGAACATTACTCAGCTCTCTAGTCTGGGCAGGTGGGGTTACAGAGTTGAGCAGTTGTCACTTAGCAGCATCTCACTTAAACTCAGGGTTGATGAGCATGCTGATTCCATGGAGTAAGCAGAGCCACCTGTACTATTGCTAATATGGAATTCCCAGGTGAATAAAGACCCTTCAGTTTCACTTTCTGTACAAAATGAAGTAACATAGAGAGTAAATGGTTTTGTTAAACCCCTCATGGGTATGGGTATTTAATATGTGTAGTGAAAAAAAAATGGGAGTCTTCAATCAGAACTCGTACTTGGTTGAGTTGCTCAGACTTTCTGTTGTTCAGTTTTTCATTTGGAAAATGGGAAGAATAAAACTATTACCTTCTCTAGCTATTTCAAAGATTGTTGTAAAGATAATATGAGAAAATGTTTTTATATATTGCAATGCCCTGCACATATATTCTGAGGTTGAAATTGTCATTATATATGTTTATACTTTTAGGAATTGATATTCATAATAATATGTAATAATTGAAGTTTCATCCAGGCACCAAGACACAATTGAAATAAAATTTCAAAGAGAGGTACCTAATCTCCATGTTGTGTACTTGCAAAGGAAATGGGTGAGGGCTGGTTCCATGTCTCTTTCTGTCCCCAACCTTTTATTCTGAAAAATTAAAACCTACAGAAAAGCTGAAAAGGTAAACATATAATACTCTCCACGTAGATTTACCGAATTGCGCTGTATTTGCTTCTATTTCTCCCTTCCTTGTTCTCTCTCTCTCTCATGATATTTCACTCACACTTGCTTCTGTCTGCTGAGAACAAGACATTCTTTTATATAACCACAACACAATCCTCATCCCCCAAAGCTTCACCATTGATGCACCACTATTAGATAATAAGCAAGCCATATCACATCTCCTAAAATGTGCTTCATATTCATTTAGGTTTTGGTGGATGGGGAGGCAAGCCTAGGATTTAATTAAGAATCTATAGTGCATTTAGTTGTCTTGGCTTTTTCTTTTCTTAGTCTAAAATAGCTCCTTCACCTTCTTTTCTCTTTAATAACATTATCTTTTTTTTTTTAATCCAATCCAGTTGTTTTAGAAAATGTCTCTCAGTCTAGATCTGTGTAGTTGTTTTCCCTACGATTAAATTAATAGTAAGCCTTTTGGGCAAGAATACTTTTTGGGTCCTTCTCAGTGTGTCCCATTACTGGTCATGTTAAATTGACTACTCAGTTAAGATGACATTTTCCAGCTTTCTCTTTGACTTAGTAATTAATAACATGAGGTGTGTTTCTTTGAAACTAGGTGAATTTCCTGTGTCCCCCACAAACTGAATTTAGCATCCAATGAGGCTTCCTGACAACATCCATTATTATAATGGGGGCCATAACCCTTCTCCATTCATAAGTGAGCATTCTGTAAAGATGAGTTTCCTTTCTCTTCCTCCCCCACTCTCAGTTCTGAGACTCTGAAGCCCCTCACTTGCTTGAAGAATATAAAGGTTGAGACAGAGGAGAGAAGGTCTAGTTGAGAAGGACATACCTGAATAAAACTGTGCTCTGAGCACCATCAACACCAGCAGGGTGAGAGGGCTTCCCCTTCACTTCAACCCTGGTTGGGAGTGGGGAGTTGCAAACATGATCCCCATGATTGGGGAATACAGTAGCTTGTAAGCTGACTCGTGTTTGGCAAATCCAGAGGTGGAAAAGTGGATTGAGTCTCTTTAGTGGTATAGCCAGGAGAATGCTGGGGTGGCAGGGAGGGCCTCTGTGTTTGTTTCTGGTGTGGTATCATCTTAGGTCCTGTCCTCTAGGTTATGTTTGAGAAAAGGATGAACGAACATCCAGAGCCAGTAGGAGAATGGCCAGGAGGAGAAGCAGAAAGTAGAGGAATGAAAACACCAGCCATGCCCCATGTCACTACCCTTTATTGCAGGCTTCTAGCCTGAGCAGGTTCCAGCTAGGAAAGGGAGAGGAATTTGAGTTTGAAATGTTGATTGACATCTATGGAGGCTGTGTTTATATTTTAAAATTATGTCAGGACTGTCTATGGCCCAGAGTGGGCAGAAAATCCATGTGGCCAGTCTGAGTTTTCATTAGTTTTAGAAAACAAATTGGTTTACTTCATAAGAAAATATCATTATGTCCAAAATAATTGGAAGTTTAGGAAAACCTTGTATGCTTAAGATTCAAGTCTCCACAAACTATAAAATAAGGCATTTGGCCAGCTGTATAAAATGTATACATTACACATAGACATCCCTCATATCCCACCACTGCTCTTCCCACAAACCCACCCTAAAAATCTGAAGACTTTTGAAAGTGTCACTTCTTCTTGGGGAGTAATTGTTTGTCAGTGTTCAAATACTGGAAAAGATTAGGAACCACAAAACCTTACCTCCTGCAGTTTGGAATTTTCCATCCCTTCTAAATATGTTCCATTTTTAGCTTTTGCTAATTTGTTTTTAATTCTGAGAGGTAAGCTTGTGTTGTGGCTTGCTTCAGTGAAGAGAATCATGCAAAATTAATGAGAATTAGAGAACATACATTTAGATGACTTTTGAAACCCTACTACAGTCAACCCCAAATTT